GGGAAAGAATACTATGCAAACTTTTCTTTTTCGTTACTTGAATTTTGACATTAGAATTTAAGGCATGGTCAGGATTGCATTATGGGAAAAAAAAATTTAAAAAGTATAGCAATATCATTTCATGACAGTATGCAAAGAACGAGATAAAAGAAAAATCTTGACGAATTTCTGGTTGCATTGTGTGCTCTTTATAGAGCAGAGATAAAAAAAATGGGTAGTTGTGGCATTTTTTCAGTGCAAGGTGGCAGGAGATAAAGGTGCCCACTCCACCCTGCCAGTTAGAGTAAGTGGAGGTACTGTGCCAGATCTTCTGGCTGTTCTGGATAAACAGAGCAGTTTAAGTTTTGGGACATTACAGAAACCTCCAAGGGGTGAGGGGAATGTATTAAAGGCCTTTGGCTGGATATATTCTCCACTTTCCTTAGATGTAACTCCTAAGAGGCAAAGCTCAGAATTCAGATGGCAGTTCTTATTCATCTCCAGACCTACAGAGTCAGCATATACAGATCATGTTTCTTTCCCACAGGTTTTAGAGAGATACATGGCATTCCAGATGCTCTGTTTGTGTGTGGCAGCTATATTTGTGCTATGCAGAACAATCATTGATGCTGTAGTATGAGTCCGTGTTACTTAACTGTCATATTGGGAATATAACTTGAAAAAACATACCTCATTTGGAGCACTGAACACCTGTGTATGAACGCTGCTTCAGCTAATATTCCTTCTTTCTTCTCAGTTCCTGCAGAACCTTTATTGTGCAAGTTTGCTGATGGAGGACAGAAAAAGAGACAGAATCAGAATAAATATATACAGAATGGAAGAGCATGGCACAGAGAAGGCGAGGTGAGACTTGTAAGTCCTCCCTTCAAGCTTTAGTGTGGGTGTACAATAATGAATACTTACAAAAATGATAGGCATTGAGACTTCTTGGCTTGACTCGACTCTTCAGCATATTAAAAATGTGCAATCAACTCTTACCTGAGAGTTTGCAACTCTATAAAATACTTAACTGTATCTTTCTTAAGAGGAAAAAAGACAAAATGCAAAACGCTAAATCCCACCTCATTAAATAAACAATAAAATCTCTTCAACTTGGTCAGGAATATGCCTGAGATATTTCTTATATTATAAAACTACCTGAAAAATAACTTTATTTCCATGTAGCAAATAATCCTTTGATTTCTGCAGCACTGAAGTGCACATCACTTTCATAAGATTAAAATAGTACTATTAAAATAGTATACCAATGCAGTGCAGCATTAGGGTTTTTTTTTGTCACAGCTTTGTTAATCTCTCATTTACATGAGACAAGGAAATTCAAATATGTCTTCTGAAAAACAGCTCTTCCTATTCATTCTTACAGTTAATATATTGTAGGCAACACCCTAACATAATCCTCTTCATGTCCTGCCTCTGAAACACACACGTGTTCTCTTAGCCAGATGTTTCATAGATTGCATTTTGTTCCTCATGCTGGGAACTCAGAAACTTGCATTCATGGCAAATATCGCTGATTCTCTTCACTGTATAATTACTTCTGTCAATTAACCTTTCCCTAACCCATTGTAATCAACTATTTCAATACAAATTTTCAGTTAAAAATAATACAACTAGAGAAAAAGTAAGAGAAATAGTTTACGATAAAAATGAATTTTGTCAACTCTTTCTTTCCACTCTTTTTTTTTTTTTTAAAGGCTGGAATGACACTCACATATGATCCAACCACAGCTGCTTTACAAAATGGGTATGTTAAATAATGGCACACTAAGAAAAAAAAAAAGTTTGCGTTATGAAAGATGCAAAGAACTAGCATTTAATAAATATTTCTGCATTTTCTAGATTTTATCCGTCACCCTACAGTATTACAGCAAACAGAATGATCACTCAGACATCTATTACGCCATATATTGCTTCTCCAGTTTCCACATACCAGGTTTGTCTTTAGAACTTAATAGCTGAAATGGTTCATTGGAGCTTATGTTTATTTATCAATTGCTACATCTGGTTTTATGAACTCTCTGGTAATGCTTCATTTTAATGAAGTGGCCTCTTCATGCTGTGCAGCATGAAAATGATGGCCTTAAAAACTAAAAGTGTGTTTGTTTCAGGAAGCACAGCAATTTAATGAGATACAGGGTGTCTTGCAAAACAAAGCCTCTAACTTGTGCTGATGGCTAAGGTATTTGTAGCCACTTCCTCATTTCATGTATGATTTTTCTCTTGGTTGAGTTCTTTTAATGTCAATAATGTATCTTTAAAATAATTACTCTTTATTTTAAACCTTGTTGATTCAGTTAAATTCTGTTTCAAAGATATTTCTTCATGCTTTTTGAACTTTCCTCCAGGTTGTTTCAGTGAGAGGGGGGAAAAAAAAGCCTAACAATAACGTGTTACGTAGTTGTAGGAAGAAGGGTACAGAAACTTGCTTGACATTAGAGAAGGAAATTTGAAAAAGACTCAGAATTCAAATTGCATTAGCATTCAAATTCGGTGTTTTCATATTAAGAGTATTTAGTAGTCTAGAACTATGTTTCTAAACAAAAGTTACTTTATTTTGAACCTTAAATTAAAACATTAATCGTGCATATTTACTGGTTTTAGAGCCCTGTCCAAAACTTCCCGAAAAGGAATTTTGATAGGTGTCATTTTGAGTTCCTGCTAAGGGATATTGACAAACAATTGAACATGCAGAGAAATTAAATGGAACAGTTTTTGTACTTTGATATGAATCTCTTAGGAATGCTCAATTTTAGGGCATCATACATTTCAGTTTACATACAACTTGCATTTAATGCAACTAGTATGGCCATCTCAGATGTATGTTCTGGAATTACTACTTGAGACATGCCAATTATCCCAGTGTAGGCTAAATGGTTGCCTATTTTGACATTTTACTGTTTAACACGTAGACAAAGTAAACATCAGTGATTCAGGTCATATACATAACATAATAACCAAGTAACCAAAATACATCAAAATAACCAAATACCAATTAAATTTGAAAAATTCTTATGACTATGTTAGAGGAAGGAGAAGAGGCTGTTTGCTTTTTAGTGAGAGAGAGGTGCTGAGTTTTCTAGCTTACTATGGGTGAAAATGAATGTAGAAGACTATGTAGAATGCATATAGGAGGCTAACAGGGGCACTGTGGGTCATTTGGTCAGTATTCCCTTGCAGAAATTTCCATATAACCTGCCATTTTGGGTGAGAATAATGAAGAAGAATTGTCTAATATTAATTTGGAGCTCTAATGCCTTCTTGCATGAGCAAAGCGTTATGTAGGAGGTAAAACTGTACTCTGGAGTAAAGGGCAGCTGGATTAATTTTATATTAATTTCTGAGGTGACTTATGCAAGACAATGTTTGCTCTCAGCAGACAGTGCTGGTACTGTATTTTTCAATATATTGAATCATTCTGCTTTGTATAGCAATACTTCAAAAATTACAGCAAGTTTTCACCCAGAAAAATATTCCAGTAGAATTAGCTGCTATTCTTTGTTAAAATAGAAAATATTTATCAATACAGGACTTTTAGATGTTCAGAATCTAAGTAAAAGTTAGAAGTTGGCATGGAAATACACTTCTTAGGAATATAGTATCACTTTTCTGGGCTTGTCGAGATAGACAGACCACAATACTGTATGTTTCCAGAAATATTATTACCAGTATTTCATTTTACATGGCATCGAGCTTAAATTATTGTGGATGGAGTTATTAACATCATTATGCTTAAAGTGCCACAGTAATAGGAATTGAAAATTAAATTCAAGTATTCTGTATTGGGGAGGAAGGAGGTTCTCGGCCAGAAGAGTTTCACAATTTGAGCATTAGTCACATCTTCATCACTGATCCCTTCTCACTGAAACCCTGCAGCATTCTGTCATCTACGCAACAGGACATATCACAAGAGCATGACTTATTTATTTTTTCTTTGAGGCATGGTATAACCTGTTCCTAGATTTATTCTTATTAAAGGTAAACAAATTTAATAAAGTTTCGGCTAGTGTTTGTTTCTGCAACTCCTGTATATCCAAATGACAGTACTAAGCCAGTTACTTATCACAGTATGAGCAGATTAACCACAGCTTTAGTCAGGCTGTACCAGTATTTTAGCCATTAAGCTTTTGCCTGAGGAAAGGGAGGGTTCAAGTGTGTTCTGTTTTTGCACTCCTGTTTGCTCTTTTTCTGATTGAAAAATAAATAAAATAGTACTCTGATTTGAAAGTCAGTACCAAAAGAATGGAAAGAAGTATTTCCGTCTTGCAGAAAATATCTTGCCTGGATTTTTTTTCAAGAGTGTCTGCCTGTCCTGTTTACAGGACTCTGAGAATGATGGTAGAAGCATTTAAGGGGCTTTAAATGTCCAGCAGCAGTGGTGAGTCAGTTCTGCACGAGCAGTACAGGTCAGACAGAATCCTGCCTTATCCTACGCATCTAGAGGAGATGGAGAGGAAGCATTTCCATTGGTACCTTTAATATTTCTTACAGCATGATTTTTCAAAGAGCTGTTAAAACCAGCTCTTTTTAACTAAGATAATCATATAACCTATTAGTTTACCTTTTAATCTTTTAAATTTACCTTATCATGCAAAGTTAGGCATCCGACCTCAGTTTGAGTTTTTGGGTAGTCAGT